CATCTATGCCCCAAATACAAAGGCATCCACATTCGTTAAAGAAACATTATTAGAACTTAAATCTCATCTAAAGCCCCACACAGTTATAGTGGGAGATTTCAACACACCACTCTCACCACTAGACAGGAATACCAAACAGAAACTCAACAAAGAAGCAAAAGGTCTAATAGAAGTAATGACCCAACTGGGATTAACAGACATCTATAGAACATTTCATCCACATAAAAAAGAATATACCTTCTTCTCACCACCACATGGAACCTTCTCAAAAATCGACCACATACTTGGCAACATATCAAACCTCAGCAGCTACAAAAAAATTGGAATAACTCCATGCATCTTATCAGACCACCATGCTTTAAAATTAGAATTCAACAACAACACAAATTGTAGAAAACCTACAAACTCATGGAAATTGAATAATGCTCAACTGCACCATCCCTGGGTCAAAGAGGAAATAAAAAAGAAATTAAAGACTTCCTTGAATTCAATGAGAATGAAGACACAACATACCCAAACCTATGGGACACTTTGAAAACAGTGCTACGGGGGAAGTTCATAGCGCTAAGTGCTCACATGAAGAAACAGGAGAACAGTTATACCAGAGAATTAACATCACAGCTGAAAGCTCTAGAACACAAAGAAGCACACTCCCCCAGGAGGAGTAGACGCCAGGAAATAATCAAATTGAGGGCTGAAATCAATAAAGTAGAAACCAGGAAAACAATACAAAGAATCAATGCAACGAAGAGTTGGTTCTTTGAGAAAATCAACAAGATAGACAAACCTTTGTCCAAACTTACCAAACAGCAGAGAGTGAACACGCAAATTAACAAAATTAGAAATGAAAAGGGGGACATAACAACAGACTCTGAGGAAATCCAGAGAATCATTAGGTCATACTTTGAACAAAATTAGAAATGAAAAGGGGGACATAACAACAGACTCTGAGGAAATCCAGAGAATCATTAGGTCATACTTTGAAAACCTGTACTCCACAAAATTCGAAAATTTAAAGGAAATGGATGACTTCCTGGACAGCTATCAATTGCCAAAATTAAATCAAGAGCAGATAAGCAATTTAAATAGACCTATAACCCCTATGGAAATAGAAGCTGTCATCAAAAGTCTCCCAACCAAAAAAAGCCCAGGTCCAGATGGCCTCACTGCAGAATTCTACCAGAAATTCAAAGAATAGCTTATACCAATTCTTCTCAAAGTGTTCCACACAATAGAAGCAGAAGGGTCTTTGCCAAACTCTTTCTATGAGGCTTCAATAACCTTGATCCCCAAGCCACACAAAGATACAACTAAGAAAGAGAACTTCAGACCAATATCCCTCATGAACATTGATGCAAAAATACTCAATAAAATACTGGCAAATCGGATCCAAGAACACATCAAAACAATCATTCACCACGATCAAGTAGGTTTCATCCCAGGAATGCAGGGATGGTTCAACATACGAAAATCCATCAACGTAATCCACCATATAAACAAGCTGAAAAACAAAAATCACATGATCATCTCACTAGATGCTGAAAAAGCCTTTGACAAAATCCAACACCCCTTCATGATAAAGGTCTTGGAGAGATCTGGGATAACAGGGACATACTTAAACATAATAAAACTATATACAGCAAACCAACAGCCAACATCAAACTAAATGGACAGAAACTCAACACAATTCCTCTAAAATCAGGAACAAAACAAGGCTGTCCACTCTCTCCATACCTTTTCAACATGGCACTTGAAGTTCTAGCTATTGTCATACGACAACAAAGGGGGATCAAGGGGATACAAATTGGGAAGGAAGAGGTCAAACTTTCACTGTTTGCAGACGATATGATAGTTTACATCAATGACCCAAAGAACTCTACCAGGGAACTCTTACACCTGATTATCACCTTCAGCAAAGTGGCAGGCTACAAGATCAACTCAAGAAAATCAGTAGCCCTACTATATACAGATGATAAAAGGGCTGAAAGAGAAATCAGAGAAACATCACCCTTTACAATTGCCACGAACAACATAAAATAACTTGGGGTAATGCTAACCAAACAAGTGAAAGACCTGTATTGTAAGAACTTTGAATCTTTAAAGAAAGAAATTAAAGAAGCCCTCAGAAAATGGAAAGATCTCCCATGCTCTTGGATAGGTAGGATCAATGTAGTAAAAATGGCAATCCTGCCAAAAGCAATCTACAGATTCAATGCAATCCCCATTAAAATCCCAGCACAATTCTTCACAGACCTTGAAAGAACAATAATCAATTTTGTATGGAAAAACAAAAGACCCAGATAGCCAAAACAACCCTGTTCAACAAGGCAACGTCCGGAGGCATCACCATCCCTGACCTCAAGCTCTATTATAGAGCTATAGTCCTGAAAACAGCTTGGTATTGGCACAAAAATAGACAGGTAGACCAATGGAATCGAATTGAAAATCCGGGTATTAACCCACACACGTACGAACATCTGATCTTTGACAAAGAAGCTAAAAATATACAATGGAATAAAGAAAGCATCTTCAACAAATGGTGCTGGCATAATTGGAGACTGACATGTAGAAGAATGCAGATCGATCCATGTTTATCGCCATGCACAAAACTTAAGTCCAAATGGATCAAAGACCTCAACATAAATCCAGCCACACTGAACCTCTTAGAAGAGAAAGTGGGTGGTACCCTTGAACGAATTGGTACAGGAGACAGCTTCCTGAACATAACACCAGTAGCACAGACAGTGAGATCAACAATTAATAAATGGGACCTACTGAAACTGAGAAGCTTCTGTAAAGCAAAGGACACAGTCAGCAAAACAAAAAGGCAGCCCACAGAATGGGAAAAAATATTCACTAATCCCACATCTGACAGAGGGTTGATCTCCAAAATTTACAAAGAACTCAAGAAGCAAGTCTCCAAAACACCAAAGGACCCTATTAAAAAGTGGGCTGCAGAACTAAATAGAGAGTTTTCAATAGAGGAGTCTAAAATGGCTGAGAGGCACTTGAGAAAGTGCTCAACATCCTTAGCCATCAGGGAAATGCAAATCAAAACAACTCTCAGATACCATCTCACTCCTGTCAGAATGGCTAAAATCAAAAACACCAATGACAATTTATGCTGGAGAGGATGTGGTGAAAGGGGGACACTCCTCCATTGCTGGTGGGAGTGCCAACTGGTTCAGCCACTTTGGAAATCAGTATGGAGATTCCTCAGAAAAATGGGAATAAACCTACCACAAGACCCAGCAACTCCACTCTTAGGCATATATCCAAAAGATGCCCATTCATACAACAAAGATGTCTGTTCCACTATGTTCATAGCAGCTTTATTTGTAATTGCCAGAACTTGGAAGCAACCTAGATGTCCCTCACCTGAAGAGTGGATAGAGAAAATGTGGTACATCTACACAATGGAGTACTATTCAGCAGAAAAAAATAATGGAATCATGAGATTCGCAGGCAAATGGATGACACTAGAAGAAACCATCCTGAGTGAGGTAACCCAGTCACAAAAAGAGAAACATGGCATGTACTCTCTCATATATGGATTTTAGACATAGATCTGGGGAGTGCCAGCCTACAATCCTATGGCCAGAGAGTCAGGGAAACAGAAACTTTATTTAGTGGCTGATCGAAGAAGAGGCAGACTCCCTTGGTTAAGTACTGAGCTGAACTCAAGAAAGCCAGTAACAGAGAGGGAGGACTGATGATCAAAGGGATTAAGACTGGGCTGGTTTAAACCCCAGAAGCAGCTGACCAGACAAAGGTTAACTCTTGAATCCCAGGCATCAGCCTGGGAAGCCAGCATGGGACTGATCAAGACCCCCTGAATCTGGGTGTCAGTGAGGAGGCCTAGGTAATCTATTGAGCCTTGGGCAGCAGATCAGTACCCATCCCAAGTATACACACGGACTTTGGACTCCCATAGAACAATGTGAGGTGCACTCTGACCCCGAACTCTTGGGGAAGGGTCTAGGCCCTGCCCTATATGAAATGACAGACTATGCACACCCCCATGGAGGGCCTCACCCTCCCTGGGGAAATGAGGGGATAACTGGGGGGGGGGGCTCGGGAGGAAGGGAGGGAATGGGAGAGGGACCTGGAACTGACTTGTGAAGCAACCTTGTTTCTTATCTAAATTTAAACTGGAAAATAAAATTAAAAAAAAGAAGCAAAAAAAAAAACTAAAATGAAAAGTAACCTAATAATTAAATACAACTTCCTATATAATAATGAAATGTAATTTCATACCTAAAAACAATGTAATTGTTTTAAGTGTTTTAATTCAATGTTTGTGAAGTTATAGAAAAATAATTTAACAACTGTAAATATAAAAAAACTATTACTCTTAGCTTTTGTGTAACAATAAAGAATTTCCTAACTTTAAAAAAAGAAAAAAAAAAAAAGAAGTGTGAGGAGGCAATCCCCAAGCTGTTTCCACTGCCCCAGGGAGCTTTCTTGATCAAGATGTGGACTGAATCTTTTGTATAAGTATTTCATTGGGATGATAATACTTATAAAAAATAAGAATCAACCCATTGACTGTCTGTAGATTATCTAAGTGCTATCCTGTTGACAAGCTTTTGGGATTTACTGATGATTCTTTTTTTGTGTGTATGTATTTGTTACTTCAAGACAGGGTTTCCTTGAGTAGCTCTGGCTGTCTGGGAGCTCATGTCGTAGACTAGACTGGCATCGTACTCACTGAGACCCATCTGCCTCAGCCTCCCAAGTGCTGGGGTTAAAGGCATGTGCCTCCACCACCTGGCGTCTGACAAGATTTTGGGAAGCAGGTAATATCTTAGTGCTCTTAAGGATGGGTAATGGTCTTCTGTGTGTATGTTTATCTTATTGGTTGTTGAGTAAAGCACTGTTGGCCAATAGGGAAGTAAGATAGGTGGGACTAGGAGTCGAGGAGGATTCTGGGAAATGTAGTAAAGAGAAGCAGCAAAGCGATCTAGGCAGGAAATGACACAGCAGGGCAGAATCAGTATGTAAGCAGGGACAAGCAGGAAATCGCTCTCCTCTTCTCTTCTCTGCGGAGACACGGAGCAGATGTGATATGGAGGAGTAAGAGGACCTGAGTAAGAGGACTGGACCTTTTCTCTGGTAAATAAGGCTGGGAAATAAGGCAAGGAAATACATGCATTATTAGAAAAATGGGTGAATGATTAAGACTGGCTAGCAAGTAAGAAACCTTAGCCAGCAGCGGCCAACAACTTAATAACAAATATAGCATCTGTGTGTTTCTCTGGGGCAGAGAAGGATGGTAGGACCCAGCAGGGCCAGAGAAAACTCACATTACATCTTAGCAGTTGGTAACATGGGGCATAAGAAATATTGGACCATTTTCTGCTTGTCGTGCATACAAGTTGGGTGTCAGTGGAGGCAAGAAGTGACTTCATGTGGATAGAAAGCTCTAAGCTCTGAGCAGAGGATGTGGACAGCAAAGACTATCAACCAGGATGACACACCAGAAGGTTATATAGAAAGATCAGGAACTTCATCGCTGGTGGGATCCCATGAATTGCTCTGTGAATTTAACTGACAAGGGTCCTGAATAGAGATGTTGAACACAGGTGTGTGTGTGTGTGTGTGTGTGTGTGTGTGTGTGTGTGTGCAGAGGAGGACAGTTTCGTAGAGTATATAGAGAAAAGACAACTCCAGGGGAACAGGAACTGATGGGGATTTCCAGTATGCTGTCAATATATGTTTCTCTTATTGGTTGATGAATAAAACACAGATTGGCCAGTAGCCAGGCAGGAAATATTTGCAGGGCTCCTAGACCAGGAGAATTCTGAGAAGAGGATGCTGGAAGAAGCAGCCAGAGAGACACCATATAGCTACTGGAAGATAGGATGTTGGGCACTCTCTAGTAATCCAAGACCATGTGGAAATACTTAGACCAATAGAAATGTGTTAATAATTAAGAGCGAACTAGCCAATAAGAAGCCTGAGACATTGGCCAAATAGTTTATAATTAATATAAGCCTCTGTGTATTTATTTAGAACTGAAGGGCTGTGGTACCTGTCGGGAAAGAAATTTCCATCTACAAGAAACTGAACCAATAACAATCTCCTCCACCCAGAGTGAACATTTCCCTTATTTGGGATATCTCGGGGGTTCTGACTCAGCTCATCTAGACTCTCCTGCTGTGTAAATACATCAAGAGAACTGTAAAAGAAACCCATTTCTGCCACCACTACTAATCACAGTGATGCTAAATTTGTAATTATGGTTAGTAAATTTTAAAAAAACCACTAGACATCTATGAAAAACAAAAGCAAGAAAGAAAGGAGGTAGAAGAAAGAGAAAAATGTAGTGAGAAAGAAAAAAATAACATGAAGCTTCTGTGATGTTTTAAGTGCTATTACACCCACAGACAACATGAAGAATTAAAATCTATTTTCAACTTAAAATGATGAGGCACCATTAGATGTTTCCCAACACATAAATATTTACATGGTACTTGATTATGATGAGCTAGTTTTTGTTTCTGCCATGTCTAGGACCAATCTATAGTCAGAGTACCCACAACTAAATGAGCTAAATAATGAAATGTAAATGGCACAGATCCTGACAGCATACAAATACAAGAACCGATGTTGTCAGCAGAAGAGGAAGTGATGGGGGAAATGTGAAACTCCAGTTTTATTGTACTTAATCGGGAGACATTGGGTAACCTTTCTTTATACTTGTGTTACAATAAACTGACTAAGAAGCTAGTTATCATGTCTCAGAATGAGGAGAGATTTTAGTAAAAGTTCTGTAAACAACTGCCCGTCTTTAATAAGGGGTGTATTAGCAAGGGTTCTCTAGAGTAACAGAACTTACAGAATGAATATAGATTTATTGGAATGACTTATGTTGTGGTCCAGCTAATCCAACAATGAAAATGATCTAGGAAGACAGTAGATGTTCAGGTCATAAGGCTGGATGTCCTGGGTGTCTCATCTCTCTCTCTCTCTCTCTCTCTCTCTCTCTCTCTCTCTCTCTCTCTCTCTCTCTCTCTCTCTCAACTCCCGAAGTAGGCTCTAATGCTATGGAAAGAATGGGACTAATAGCAAGGTAAAACTTCCTTCTCCCACATCTTTATAGAGGCTTCCAACAGAGGTGTGGTCCAGCTTAGAGACTGGTCTTTCCACTTCAAAAGATACGGACTAATGATGTATCTCCATACCTCATAGATCCAGATTAGACATTGATCTTTCTTCAAATTCGCCAAAAGTCCCTCATAGGTGTGCCTCGTTTTGTGTTTTTTTAAAATTCCATACATAGTCAGGTTGACAACCAAGAGCAGCCATTGCAAGAGGAGAGGTACTATACACCTTCTCAAATTGATCAATTTAGAAGAAAGAAATAAGCATGTTAGAATTTCAGGGCCCTGCACCACAAAGACTAAGAGTAACAAAGTAAAGTTTTCAGTGCAGAAGCTGGAATTGGAGGTAGACAGCAAGAAGGGAATTGGGTTTTATTCATCTGTTCCCCACCACCAATGAACTGCTTCTAGACCTCTCTAAACCTCCATAAACAAACAGTTACCTCTGTAAACAAAGAGTTTAAACTATTCCTACTGTTGTAGGGTATCCATCAGAAAAGACAACCCAGACATGGTTTAAACCAATAGAAAGTTTTTGTAAGCCAGTCAGCAACTACACTGGGCATTCGGGGTCCTAGTGTATCCCCAAGCCTTTCTTAGGGTGAGCTTTTTTTAACCACACACACACACACACACAAAAACCCAACCATATTCTGGGTTGACATACTTCAGTCAATAATAACGGGGGGGGAGGGGGGGAGGGCACGGGAGGAAGGGAGGGAATGGGAGAGGGACCTGGAACTGACTTGTGAAGCAACCTTGTTTCTTATCTAAATTTAAACTGGAAAATAAAATTAAAAAAAAAAGAACAGTTAGTTAGAAGCAGAACTAGAGAAGTTAAAAAAATCAAAGTTAGTACATTTCGAGACTTTCCCAGAACTATGGACTTAGATGGATTAGGTCTCTGCTTTAGTTTTGGCAGGTAGTGTTGTCTATGTGCTGAATTGTACAACCTGAGTGGCACTTCCATCATGGCGTCAGCTGTGCTAAGGTCTAGGGACCTACTAAGGTCTGAGGGCCTTTTACACTTATAGATTGCTCTGGTTCTTTTTGCTATAACCAAGTACCTGGGTCTGAATCTTTCATTTTGGCTTACGATTCTGGCAGCTGGAGGGTCCAAACAGTAAGGTAGTGGGTTGCTGACTATTACAACATGGCCAGGAAATACAGAGGAAGCTTCAACACATAGCAGGGCACATGTAGTAGAAGCGATCTTGCTTTATAGCAACCCACTCTTATGAGGACTAACTCATTCTAAGACACCAGCACTAATTATAGGAGTGAACCTCACAAAGTTATCCGCCCACGAGGGCGGGGACAAATAAATTAGCACAGGTAGAGATAAAAGGAAGCTAAAGGAAAAAGGACCTCCTCTTTGGGAAGCCGGCCACGCTTCTGACTCCCAGCTTATGTGATTCTCTCTCTCTGGTAAAATAAATATATTGTATTCTCTATAGCACTGACTATCATCCCTATCCATCCATAGCTAATATCTCCTGAGGGCAGTGCCTGCAATGCCTTAGTCACAAACAACCAGAGCACTGTGCCCCTGGTCTTGTAACAGTTCCAGTGCCTCTCAGCATTGTCACTCTGGGGACCAAGCTTCCATAAAATGACCCTTTGGGACACATCCTAACCACAGCCAGACCATAGCATTAGCCAATGTCATTCAGAAAAATCTCTTAAGTTTATGACACTATCACTCTGTAGATAAAACTAATAGAGGAGAAAATGATAAATTTTCAACTTAGAAATGCTGGTGGAAAGTCTTAATAGATCATAAGACTGACATTCAAAAAGAATTTATTCTCAGAATACAAGGTTGTTTCAATACTAGGAAGTCAATTTACATGGTTGTACATTATTAACATATCAACTAGGGGAAAATAGCCATTTGAATTTGTTGAAATTCAGCATCATTTTTCAATGAATGAAAACTTATAATAAAGACACACAAAAATCTACTGTATATATTTCAACTTGATAGCAGTGGTTCAAACGTGCATGACAAAATTTAATGCTTTAACACATAAAGTGCTTTTATGAAGCAATGAAAAAGAGATATACTCAACAGAAAAATATTAGTATTACACAAATCCCAAGTCAACTGTCCTCAAAACAAGGAGAAATATTTAAAAGTAATCCGTATTTAAACAACCGTAAGTGCAAGCTGCAAAATGAAACATTGCAAATACCATATTGGCAGTGTTCACAATGCTACTGTACCTAGAACTGATGAGGCTGAAAGAAATGAAGAAATGTGCTCTGTCATTTGTCTGGAAGATATGTGCATTGACAAATTAAGAAATGTAATTGCCGGCCGGGCGTTGGTGGCGCACGCCTTTAATCCCAGCACTCGGGAGGCAGAGACAGGCGGATCTCTGTGAGTTGGAGGCCAGCCTGGTCTACAGAGTGAGTTCCAGGACAGTCTCCAAAGCCACAGAGAAACCCTGTATCGAAAAAAACAAAAACAAAAAACAAAAAATAAAACAAAACAAAACAAAAAAAAGAAATGTAATTGCCAATATGTTCAAAATCATTAAAAGTACAAGTGCCCCTTAACCTATAAATTCTACTTCTAAGAGTGATTTCTAAAGAAATTACTTAAGAAAAAATGTTCACAATACCTAGCAACAAATATTATGAAAGATTATATTTTATTATGAAAAGTAGATAAGTTTAATTCCAACAATGAACTATCACACTATAATACTATGATAAATTAATATATGCAATCATTACAAGTGATGCTGCACATGAGTATTTTGATACAGAATATGTTAGAGCACATTAGATGATAAGAACACAACTCAAATCTATGTAACAGTATCGCTCTGTCTGTTCTGCTTTAAATTATCTCTCATCTATCTTCCATGCATTATCCATATATGCATGTATGTATGTATGTATGCATGTATCATCTTTCTATGAATCTATCTTCTATCTGCCACCTATCTCCATATCTGCTTATTGGTAAATGGTGAAAGAATATTTTTCATGATATTAAAATTAATAAGCAACAGCTGGTATTTCTTCATGCTTGCAATGGTTTATTATTATTGTAAAGTATATGTTATTAATATATGTTGCTTTGTTATTTTTTCCTTTTCATAAGAAATAAACACTTTCACAAAGAAGAAAACTTAAAGGTAAAATATACATCTATTTTCTCTTCATATGAAGTGTAACAGAAGCATAATATGCTTTTTATGAAACAAACCTTACATTACAATTCTAAAATGAACACAATAGAAAATTAGACTGAAGGCAATTACTAAGATAAAACTATACATGATGTAGGAAGAAGAAAATTTCAACTCTCACTTTTGCTTTATGAGACAGAGTTTTGCTAAGTGTGTAGTCTAATCTGGCCTGGAATTTGTGACCTTTAGGGACTAAGGCTCCCAAACGCTGGCTTTGAAGGCTTGTGCTGCCATGCCCAGTTCAATTTCACCAGAGTTTTAAAAAAATAAAAATGGCATTCATTAACAAAAAATATAGGGTGGGTAAACTTGCCACACAAGCATGAAGACCTGAGTTCTGGTCTCCAGAACGCAGATCAATCCGGAAGCCTGTGCCCTACAGCACAATGGAGGTGGAGACAGGAGAATCCCCACAAGCTCTCAGGCTAGTGGCAAACAACAAAAGTCCTTGTCTCAAACAAGGTAGGAGATGAGAACCAACACTAGAGGTTGTCCTCTGATCTCTCCATTGTGCACCATGACACTGTGTCACCATACACACAAAATAAAAGAGTATTAATTTTCTATCATGACAAGTGCTTAGTGTTATGAGTTATCTTGTACAGCGCAGCTGCGATAACAACATTTCTAGAGACACGATATAACTATATGACGATATATAACAAAAGTTTTATTTTTGTTATTTTAATTATGTGTGTTGTGGGTATCTGTGTGTGGGCATGTGTACCTGAGTGCAAGTGCCCTCAGAGGCCAGAGACTTTAGAACCACCTGGGACCTGGAATTACAGGTGGTTGTAAGGAGGCTCCAGTCTTTGCAAGAGCAGTATACACTCTTAGCTGCTGAGATATCTTTCCAGGCCCCATAACAAAAATCCTAAGATTGTGCAGACTATATCTCTCTCTCTCCTTAGAATTTCCACTAAGAGATATTGAGGTATGTGAACGAATGTAGGTGATCAAAATACTGTTTCTGATGCCGAAAATTAGGAGAACCTTACATGTTGAAAAATCTAAGATTGATTAGATTATGGGATAGCCATAAAGCTGATATTAAGAAATTATATTAGTTTTTAGAATAATAATGACATGTAACAGATTCATAATAACTATGAAGTGTTGGAAAGTTTTCTTTTTTTCTGCTCTATCCTAATTTCAGAGAACATGTTTTTGGCATCATGTGCAAGATGACCTGGTACTTTTGGTGTGTTTGGTATCTGGACACTTATGTAGACTTGCTGGTGGCTTACTGATATCACCCTTTACTTGATAACATATCTCCCCCTTTTAATTGCTGTACTGGACCCATGTTCCAACACTACATCACCCTTTAACCCGCTGCCAAGGAAATAACCTAGTGGTTTTAACTCAAAACTTAAAACTTATCTGAGACAAATATGCCATCCATTGGATGTCTAGATCGGTTTAAATTGATAATACTAATACAGGCTTTCTTTCTAATCACTGAACACTTAGGAAGACAATAACAAGGCATATTGTGTAGGCTTTGAAACAGCATGCAGATTAAAAATTGCCTCTACATGTCCTTATGCACGTGTGAAAGACTCCACTGAGAAACCTTAGGCATTGGGGAACCTGAGTCCAGAAGTTACAAAAAATATCATATAAAGTAACAAGATGGTTTGATCTATGGTGCAGAAGTTATAAAGTAACGCTGTGCTAATGGTAGGACCAATAAATCGAAAATGCGTTCTAAAATACAAAACATAACACGTCAGAATACCCAAAAAACATTCCTATGAAAAGTTCCGGACCACACAGCACCTTGCAATATCTGACATTATACCTCATGTTTTATATTTAGTGACCTGAGGCAACATAATTACTGTACGGCAAATTCAAGAGCATGTAGAGAAGAAAGAGGTCATATTGGACAGAGATGAAAAATGTATCTGTAGCCTATGTTATTTTAAGGAAAATGTGCCAGTATAGTTTCCCCCCAAAAAACCAAAAGGTAGACTGGTAAATTATGAAAAAAAATGTTGCATGAAAGCAGGAGGCGTGAGGTGAACACCTCCATGATGAGCACACGCCAAGGAAGGGCTTCTGTTGGAGAACAGACAGAGAAGAAGCCAGGATGCGCATGCGGTCAGCACAGAGCTTGCAGGCTTTCCCACATTTTTATCCCATCAGTGGAATAGACGCACAGCTCCAGAGTGCAAACATGTGATTGCACATTCAACACGAGAAAGAAGCAAAGCAACAGAGAGGACCCATAGTGCGTCCTGAAAGAATGCTTTCCTGACTTTAGTTTTCTGTCCTTTACCCCAATGTATACAGAGACACACACTGCTACCCCAGTGGGCAGGGTGCTTCCCTTCAAAAACGAAGCTGAAAAAGTGAAGCCGCACATTCAGCTTTGGATTCAAGCAAGCCTGGCGGTGTCTCTCCTAGGGGAGACACAGGAACGGAACCAGGGCATTCTCATTGTACAGTGCATACTAGGAACTGACCCTGGGAGGGAGGAGAGCTGCTTGCGGTCCTCTTAACTTTTCCTAGCTTGTGTTTCCAACTACCCATTTCAGTGAGAACCTTCCACCCTGCGGGTCTTTCACGATCTGCTTCTTGTGGCAAACAAGCCACTGTCTCACAATTTCTAAGTTAAACTCTTTCCTCTCTGGTCCTATCAGCCTCTGCTGCAGGAATCCCCCAACCCACAGTCTGAAAAGAGCCTACTGGGTGCTGTTCGAGCACAGTCAACCCTAGACTCCGACTGCCCCCTCTGCTCTCTCGCACATGCGCTGCAGGATCCGGTGGATACTGCAGAAGCTGGGTCTGTCTGCGGGCAGCTTGCTCCAGCACAGGCGCATGAGGTTGTACAGTTCCAAGGGGCAGTTCTCCGGGCAGGAGAGGATGTTGCCGTCCCTCACATAGTAAATGACCTCCTCGTGGGCCATCCCATAGTAGGGCTGCAGGCCGTAGGAGAAGATCTCCCAGAGGACCACACCATAGGCCCACACATCGGACTCCGTGGTGTAGCGGTTGTAGAAGATGGACTCGGGCGGCATCCAACGGATAGGGATGGCGTCGTTCTCGTTAGCTTTGTAGTAGTCTGCAGAGTAGATGTTCCTGGAGAGGCCGAAGTCTGCGATTTTCACCACCATGTTCTCCCCGACCAGGCAGTTCCTGGTGGCTAAGTCCCGGTGGACAAACTTGCGCTCGGACAGGTAAGCCATACCCGCTGCCACTTGCCTCGCAATGCAGAGCTGCTCCGCACAGGACAGTGGCGGAGGACCCGGGCTGGACATCCGAGCCTTCGTGGACAGGTCGCTGTGGCTGAGGCTGCACACGGTGTGAGGGGACATGCTTCGGAGGAACTCATTGAGGTCGCCATAGGCCATGTACTCAAAGAGCAGACACATGGGCTTTCCTACCGCACACACACCTGCAATCACAATAATACCTTGGTTAAGCCGAGTCTTTCCGCAAGGAAAGAACACTCAGAAATCAAAGCGCCAGGACAGAAAAGATGGGGTCCTGCTCTTTAGGGACAGCAGTAGTCATCCTGTGAGACCCACTTCTTTCCTTAAACATCTGTTGTCTGGTAAGATTTGATGTTATTTCTTCTCTTTCTAGGGTGTCTCAATCCCTGACCCCTTGGTTCTTAAAATAATGTCCTTCTATTATCTTTCCAGTACCTACTGTGGGATAACGCTCTTGTTCAGTGTGAAGATTTGTCACTCGCATTGGTTTAGTAAAACGCTGAGGATTTGTCACAGTTATCGGTTTAGTAAAACGCTGATTGGCCAGTAGCCAGGCTGGAAGTATAGGTGGGGCTGCCAGACGAAGAGAATTCTGGGAAGAGGAAGGAAGAGATGGAGTTGCCAGCCAGACGCAGAAGAAGATGAGAATGTCTTCCTGAGAAGAGGTACCAAGTCTCATAGCTAAACATAGATGGTAAACTTGGCAAGTCATTTTATGATGGCAAATTAGTGTCAAGAAATTTTCTTTATGTGGAGACACTTGAGGAAAATGTCTAGCCAGAAAAGAGGCAGCAATGACCAAGACAGTCCGAAGTGATGGAATTAAAGGGAGCGGAGTGTGACGAAAGCTGGGGTAGTAGGTGTGTTAGGGAGTAGGTGAAGGGGCTGAACCGGGAAAGGAAGAGAGAGGCGTGTCCCACCCACCAGGGAGAAAGACGAGGGAATAAGTGAGTGAGAAAGGAGAACAGCTTAGGAAACCTCTTTGCTGAGGGACATGTTTTCCTTCCGTTACGTTTCCATACCTAAGAGCTTCACGATGTTGGGGTTGTCAAACTCGGCCATCAGGGCGGCTTCCCTCTGAAAGTCCGCTTGCATGTCTGCTGAGGCCTCCTCCTTGAGCATCTTCACGGCCACCATAGTGAAGGGTTCATAGGGAAGTAAGCCTGGGGCCCTGAGAGATAAACCGTAGACAGGGGTGTGTTTATACCCCCTGATTGTGTTTACTCACATTTGTATAGCCTGCCACCATGCTCATGCAGCCTTTTCAGAGCCACAGACCGAAGGACAATGACACAGTAAGTTGTGCTTAAACTTCTGTATGCCAACTAGGAAATCCACTAGTTATTTTCAACATAGATTATGTTTGATATCAACTAGGGGACACACACACACAGAGACACACACATACACAGAGACACACACACACACATACACAGAGAGACAGAGAGAGAGAGAGAGAGAGAGAGAGAGAAAGACAGAGCGAGAGAGAAAGGGAGGGAGGGAGGGAAGGAGGGAGAGAGAGAGTCCTAACATTTAAATTGTAGTGCCCTAGTGATTAGCCTGACTCTAAATTCCTTGGGGGGATGGAGACTAGGGCTGACTGCTCCTATGGTCCCCCATACATCCTAAAGTTGCATCTTGCCAATCTCACAGTAAGTGTGTGAGACCTTTCATTTTAAATGTAACCTCAATATCAAGGCTACATTAAACAGAAGCAGGGCTATGCCTGCTTAAGGACAAGACTGACAGCTGGTGATTAAATCCAATTGCACATCTTTTCATCTGCTACGTGCCTGTAGAGCTGCGTCCACACGGAGTGGGTATTTTATTCCATTTCACACAGAGTTGAGAAATGAGCTATGATTGACTGTAATATATATCCCTTTCCTGAGCTCACTGATTTTTTTTAATATTTACATTTCCCCTTTCTGTTTTGTTACTCCATGAGTGTCTATTTAATGTCTATAAAAGTCAAAATCTGAGTTTTAAACACTAATTCAAAGGAAACTTTAAATGAAGTAGAGACCAACAATAGGAAGAAGAAAAGGAAGAAGTAAAGAAATAAGTAGGAATTATTACCAAATCAATATAAGAAATTATGACTAAAATATATAGAAAATTATTTTCCAGAAAGGAAATATGGTTGAATTACTGGTAACTTCTTGTAAACTACTCATTGTATGTCTTGTAAATTACAAATTTAAATGCAGCATACTACATTCTTTCTAGGTATACTATTTTTTTAGTAAAAAAAAAAGGGTGGAGGGCAATATTAAGATTTACAATAAAGCATGTGGTGTCAGAGACGGCTCAGCGCACTGACTGAGTTGAGGACCCACACAGCAGCTCACACACATCTGTAATTCCAGCTCCAGAGAATCCAATGCCCTCCCTGACCTATAAGGACACTGCACCTACATGGTGCACATATATACATACAGGCAAAGCACCAACCCGTGTGAGATAAAAAAAAATAATCTTCAAAAATAGCATGCAATACAAACAAATAATATAAAGAAACAAGTGATTCGATAACAGTTTTGTACACAGCAGATCAGGAAAATGATCCAGGAATTTGTCAAGCCTAGTGAATTTCAACAGAGATTCCTCCTTGCCCCCGCCATGTTTAATTTTACCTCGCTTGGAAGACCCTTCCGAACGCTCCCTCTCCAATGTCTCTGACGTACTCAATGTTATTCCTGGGGTACTCCAGGCTGAGCAACTTGGGGTTCAGAAGGAGTGGCATCCTCTGGTACATGGGGTTGGGGTGGAGTCTGTCCAGCAGGAGCTCAGAAGGCAGGGTGGTGAGGGTCACCGCTGCTGACTCTCTGCAGGTGAGAGGCAAGATCAGCAGTGACCCTTGACCTGGGTCCTTAAGGATGTTTAGAAATGCATAGAGTACATACTACTAAGACAGCCAAGGACACTTGAGAACAATGAAGTGTGCTGCTTGGTCTGCAGTCTTGAGAGGCACACTTATCGGTATAGGTAGCAGCGGTGAGAGTAGCCATTTCCACCGGTGCTTAAGTTTTCTCTGGTGTAAAAATTGTCTTTGGCACATGTGGCTGTGGTGCCCGAGTCTTGAAGACCCCCACAGAGACTACCAAGGAGACGGACTCACCAAACTGCAAATGCAAGGCTTTATTGTTTAATCCTACCTGTAGGTACTCACTCCGTCTAGCAGGCTGACAGAATTTAAAGGAAAAAAAATTTCCACAGGAGGTATGGGTCAGGTCCTGACTGGATGACATTTGGGGAACCATTAGAGGAATTTCTCAGAGTCAGGGCAACTGGTTTGTTATTATCTTTGATGGGTTGGCTACTGATGGGAGTATTAGTGGTCTCTATGGCTTTCTCTGTTACCTTCAGGTAGCCTCTTCTCATTGGTTGGTGCTGGGAGGGAGCATTCTGCGGTTCCTATGACTCTTGGAGGCTGTTTGTTGCTGAACACGGTATCCAGTACTTACTAAGTCTGAGAGGAAGGTTGTCTTGGAGTTTTTTTTTCACAGCACAAGAACTAGGGGCTAGGGGATTGGATTTATTTTGAAGGCTTTCCCACAACCTTTACATTAATATAGTTTCTTTCTATTACGAATAATAAGAGTCCAATGGGAACCCGAGGCTTTGACACATTGATGCAATTTTTTTCCCCAGTGTGATTTATCAGAAGGGAAGTCTTTGAGTTTAGTTTACCCCTTTCAATGATGCCTTTAAAGTCCAGGGTAGGGGGTTTAATTTTAAACCCAGGTTATGGATGTTAGTGAGGCAATGGTGGTGCAGGAGACACCGCTCTTCTAATCCCCGATTCCAAAACCGAGTACGCAGGACTTGTGACGGGCTTCAGCTCGAATCTCACCTTTTCTTATTCTTCCACTCTTTCCTTCTTCGGCAGCAGTAGAGAGTAGCGATGGTGAGAAGGGCAAACACGGCAAAGCTGGACATGATGGAGACGATGACCGTCATGGAGTACGCAGGCGCAGAGACCGCCAGGGAGGAGGTGGAGGAAGGCATGTTCGGAATGTCCACGCTCGGCTTGGAGGACGCCACCGATGGGAATGCTGCAAGGGAACGATAGTTCTTTCCGCTTACTTTGGAGCCTTTAAGAAGCAGGTTTTTTGTTTGTTTGGTTTTTGTGTTTTGTGCTGAAGCACTTACTACCACAGCACTAAGAACAGGCTAGTGTATCAGGGTCTCCTTGGCTATCTGTCTATAAAGTCCAGTATTAAGGATCCAGTAAGGTTCATTTGCAAGGAAGAGGAGAAATACACTTTTTTTTTCTGAAAGAAATGTAAGGCCCAGACTTAGGCTTCTTATGTACCACCTATGACTGACGGCACTGGGAAAATTATGCACTCAAAAATATTTTCACATAATGAGATGACTGAATGTGAGAACTCTGTGTGTGTGTGTGTGTGACTGGAAGAAGATGAAAAATGAATCCACCGGAACATAAACAAGCAAAAGTCAACTCATCTACAACTTGAACTCTTATCAAACTCCCACGTAAAAGGCCCATAAAAGCAATAAAATCTGCATTTGTGCTGGTATCAGCAAATGCTACCTGAAGCTTGTCAGTCCACGGTGGACATAGTTAAACAACCTTATTGTGAATACCTTGAAATCTTCTTTGTAAAGTGAGTAAAGACAAAAAAAAAAAACAAAACCACAGAAACAGATATTTTATACATAACCAAAAACAGTCTTGACAGCCAAGAATCAACTTTGTAGCCCAAAAAGAGATGATTTCTTCAAATCCTGGGGAAGACTGACAGATGTGACTGGTGTTAGGCCACAAAGATAAACCTCAATAAATGTTAAAAGCATAAATTATAGAGCTCTGTTCTCTGTTCTCACCAAAAATGCATTTAATGAGAGATTAAATAAAATCCAACAGGATGACTGAGAGAAATAAAGATCTGTACCTTTTCTGGTTAAAAAGTTCAAAGTAGCTATAGTTATAATAAGCCAGAAAACAAAAGTCTTTTTTTTGTTGTTGTTGTTGTCCCTTTCGAGACAGGGTTTCTCTGTGAGGCAGTCCTGCCTGTTCTGAAACTCACCCTGTAGACCAGGCTGGCCTCAAACTCACTGAGATCCGCCTGCCTCTGCCTCCTGAGTACTGGGATTAAAGGCATGCGCCACCACTGCCTGGCTCAGAGAAAAAAATCACAGTGGCATGTATGAAATTTGCCTAAAATTGCATTCATTGATAAACTCATGGATTTTTCTCCTGTTGCACGTGAGGAAGAGAATGAATGGAATTGAGACTTTAGACAAGCAACAGTAACTTCTGAGAAAGAAAGGGAAACGGGATACAGAGATACCCATAAGCAAGCAGAAGTTCCTGAGACTGCACATACCACAAATGACAGAGATGAGTAAAGTTTCCAGTCTTTTAAATATTTAGAACTTGGTTTGATGAGTGGAATTTTAATTGGAAAAAGACAAGAAAGCCACAAATGTAGCAATTAAGACGGGTTATCTCGACAGACTGGAAGATCAATAAAAACAAAATAGTACATAATTATAAAATCACATTTCCAAATCTTACAGAAAATGATAGGAATACAGTAGTTACCAAATATGAATAAAAAATATACATGAGTAGAACCATAGGCAAGAGACTACTTTTAAAAACCACTGTGTAATTACAAACGCCCTCTTTGAGACTTGGCAGAGGTAAAATTCCAACTATCACAATATGTCCCATCTAGAGAACACACTTTTAACCCATTAAGAAAGCCAAAGTGCTAGTATGCAACCCAGAAATATTAGCATGAAAGGAAAAGGTACAAGCCAATTATCTGACAGAGATTTAGAAGTGCCTAAGTGAGCAATTGCTGACTGATCCCAATACAGTGAGAAAATACAGGTTTCACAAGCAGGAAGATATTAACACACACACATACACACACACACACACACACAAACACACACACAATCAAAAATACAAAAGAAAACTATATTTCAACAGGTGCCAAAGACCTTTGGAAAAGTGCATTTTAAGGTGATGATTATAAGAAGTGCCTGTCTGCCTTCTTAGTTTGGAATAGGGGCAGCTCACCATGGCTAGCTGAACAACAGGAAACCTTTAACACATGGAGTGCCCAGGGCCATTGAGACAGCATTCATGAATGTGTAGGTTATAAGGGGTGTTTATGAATGACTCCTAGTCTAGGAGCGGGCATAGTGAAAACCCCTGCCTACACATGACTAACCAAGTGGTTTTGAACGGTAGAGGTCAAGCTTGGTCACCACTGTGACTCAGGAAGATGCACAAAACGGAACGACATTCGGTACAACAGTAAACATCTGGGTGCGGTTGGTGGAAGCGCGCCTTATTAAGGCACAGCATGGTGGGCTTAGACTTCCCAGGTTCTAACAGTGGTCCCCAGTCACTCCCAGCTTTTTCAATTCAGAGGGAGCCTTGAAAGAGTCAGCTAAACTCCTCATTCTGAACACAGTAAGAAATCACTACTAAAGCATACAGATGAATATCTGTTTTTATGGGTGGGTTTTTACAAAGCTGTTCATATGACAGAAAATTGGTGTGGTGGATAAAGATTTTGCTACACAAGAATGAGGGAGGGAGTTTGGATTTCCAGAGCCCAGGTGAAAAGCTCGTCACCCCAGTGCTGGAGAGGGGCACCGACATCTGGGTCCCAGAGTTCACTGGCTGGCCCATCTGGCCAATGAAGGAGCACTTGGTTCAGTGAGAGTCCTTGTCTCAAAAAAAATGGATACTGATGAAGACATCAATATCTAGCCTTCACATATGTACACGCCGGTGCCCCTACCCACCCCACACCACAAACACACACTGAATTATCATAAAGTATATTTTAATGGTGTATGTTTTAAAAAAAATCCATGATCATTCCATAAGATTTACTTTTTAAATACAAGAATTGACAGTTTGGCCAGTAGTTCTTTTGCATGGTTTTAAACATGCCCTCCTTTCTGGATAATTCTATTATCATCCTTTGATCATTGCTCAGAACAGGTTACACTGGTTATATCCAGGAGTGTGTCAATCACCTCCCTGGGACCAAATGACCCAGTCAGACTTCTATTATATTTCCTTTCTATGCTTAATTTTTTCTGTAACGAACTTTGTATCTTTATCTTTTCCCTAGGACCACCAAGAATTCACTCATCCATAGACAAGTACACTGATTATTGCCAAAGATTCTTGGGAAACAGGGGCATTGTGGCCTTCCTTTTCAAGGAGGCACAAACCAATAAGCAAACTATTAGCAAGAAAATCCAAGAGTACATTGTGAGAATAGGAACAGGTACTTATGAACGATTAGGGGCAGTACCGGGTTCAGGTCTAGAGACCCTGGGTGGGTCTTCTTATGTAAAGTTAAATTAGATATAAATAACGAAGGGGCAACACCGGTGGAAAACTACTATAGTCTGAGCATTTGTCCCTTGAAAAGTAAATTGTGATTTGTGCCTTTATGAAAGAGGCCTGAGAGCCCTTTCCACCTGCCTTGAAGGGTTACAGCGAGAAGACAGTGACGTAGGAAGCTCTGTCTACGGCAGCCGTGCGTATGTCTGTGCCTTAATCCTGGATAACCAGCTTGCAGAACTCTGAGACACAGACTTCTGTGGCTTGCAGGCTCTCCTATCGTGCTTTGTTATTGTATCCTAATGGGGCAAAACCAACATGACTGCGTAGGGGGCATTACAATAGCTGAGCGGAATGAGGGTGGGGAGATAATGCTTTACCAAGAAGAAATTCATGCACCAAGCTGTTGTACTTCCCACAGTTTCATTGTTGCAGATAGGAGTTCCTACAGTCAATGCAGATATCATCTTTAGGTCATTAGAAGGTCTCGAGTGCTGAGGGGAGTTATTTGGCCTTTGGCTTGCAGCAAGTGGAGGGGAAAAAAAAACCCAAAGGAGGGCTTCAAGTGGTGCAGCAATTGGCCAACTTTGTGCCTTAGAATGATGTCTCAGCTGCACCCTGTGACGTCATCCCCACTGGGCCTCATCTCTACCTCCTAACAGGACCTCTTAAGTAAGGAGCCAGAAAGAGATGCCTGATGCGCACCGTTGGCCAGGATTTCTATGACACACACACACCACCATAAAGAAAAAATGTAAAAGCCTCTGTCCAGACAAGGGGGAAAAAGAAAAAAAAAAGTCACAAGAAAAATAGCCAGACACATTAAACTATGTGCTTTCCAAGCCAGAAGCTAGAAAAGATACCATTAAATCTATAGGATGGTTAGAGAAATGCGATGCCACTCAAGAGCTGCCCATCCTGCTGTTTCATCTCAGTTCCTGTGGTAAGAGAGAACCACTGGGTAATGTTCGTCACCTGAATGATTCACTCTCAAGACAAAACACCTAACTAAAGACGAACTGAATCTGAAAGAGACTCCAAGATAAGAATAAAGAGTAATATTAAAAAATGTACATTTATTTTTAAACCTAAATAATGATGAAGTGACTGGGAGCTTTGCCGGATTCTCTAAAGATTCCACAGTGGGGCAGAGTGAGGAATGAGAAGGAGGAAAAGCCTGGCTTTCATAGGAAGAATAACTAGCCCCAAATAAGTCAAAAGTGAGTCCTTGGAACCGTCCCATCTCTGCCTTCCCAGCACGGGTTTTGTGGTATCTGCCATCCCAGTTGTCTTTTACAGGGTGCCAGGGCTTGAACATCCACCGTCGCGCTTGTACAACAAGCCCTCTGCATTTGAGCCACCCTGCATCCAAGCCTATGGAGAGGGATGGCTAGGCAGTTAGCACGAGTTCATTCAGCACTAATGAAAGACCACGCCTTAGTCACAGACGGCGACTGTATTCCAATTTTCACTGGACCGGCTTCTGTCTGTCTGTCTGTACTCAGTCTGGAGCAACCCTCCATCCTCCTACTGCCAGTGCACGGTAGACGCGAAGCTAAGGGCTTTGGAACTCAGCTGACGAAAGAAAGAGCTGAAAGTTGGGCACGTTTAAATGGGGAAAGAGGAGGAAATTACAAGGAGACAGGGCATGCGTTTCCAAGCATTTTAGAGCCTATGCTACAGAGCATGAGCCAAAGGAGGGCAAAGAGCACCAGCTTTTAGAAGCTACAGAGGACAAGTTCAGTTCAATGTGTGGCTGAAATGTTCTCACAATTAAAGGGGTGCATTTTGAGTCAGGAGAGGGAATGCCTGTGGAGAAGGTATTCTCCCCCACGGGAGGGTTTACGTGAAAGAATTGCTGAGAATCACTTCCAACTCTGCTTCTGTGAATTTCTGCCTTTTCCATCCCCACAAAACAGACCCAATCAGCATTTCAAATGATTAAATGATTAAAATATTAGCTCATTGCCTAACTCTCCCTCCCACTCTCCCTCCCTCCCTCCCTGCCTCCATCCCTCCCTCCTTTCTCTCCCTCTCTCCCATTTCATTTGTGGCTAATATAGTAGCTGACCATTATGGAAAACCGAATTTTAGAGGCAAAGCATACATTTATTGTCAAACTGTCCGGATGAATTAGAGATAGGGACATTTTGGTCAATGGGAGCGGATCAAGAACTCATAAGGGAGCATGGAAAATCATCCGTGTCTTTTCTAGAATGAGTGCGCTGGAACAACCAGGCAAACTTTTCACGTGAGGTCTTGTAAATGTAAAAAAGAAGGTGACAGCATCCGCTGTAACAATTTAAAACTTAGACACTGACAATGGAGCAAGAATCAGACAAGCTGGGGCTTGAACACTGGCTTTACCTCACACAACATAGGTCACAGGGGGGGGGGCAGGTTGGTTGACCTCTTTCACACCCACTAGAATGCAGAAAGGATCATGTTAGCCGCACCTACTTTCTTGTAGGACTGTTGGAGAACTTATGAGAGACTGTGTGCCGCCACACTAATCAGTTTGTCAGGACTGGGCTACACAGCCATGCATTCTTCCGGCGCATGAGCCGTGAGAGAAAAGTTGGAAAGGATGAGAGGATGGAAGAGATGCAGCTCTCTGTTACCAGAATAAGCCAGATTGCATTTCTTTTTCTACAGAAGCTTTGAAACAGAAGGTGGGCTCACTGTTGAGTGTGCCTGGAAGGCACGTGGAATCCCACAGAAGAGACAAACAGCGTGCTTAGCACTGAGTAATGTAAATATGGCAATGTCCTGCGTGTTCGAGGAGGTATTTTGCTTCAGCAGAAGATGATATTAAAATAAAGCAAACCCAGAAGCTGCTGGAATTCCAGTTCCCATGCTTGAGCAAGTAAAACACAATGCAAAGATAAAGAAGGATTTAAATTTTTTTCCAAATGCTCCTCAAAGTAAACTAGTAATGATATTTGGAATTTGCTAAGGAGCCATGAAGCCGGGGCAGCAAGATGGCTGTGTGTAAAGGCATTTACAGCTGAGCCTGGTGAACTGCATGTGAGTCCCAGGATCCATATGGTAGAGCTGACTCCTGACGCTTACAAATTATCCACTCACACATTCACACACACATATGCCTGCACACACATACACTCACACACATACTCACTCACACATGCACACACATGCACACTCACACATGCATGCACACACACACTAAGTAAGTAAATGAGTGCAATAAGATATTTTTAAAAAAGAAATCATAAAACGAGGAATATTTGAGGGCTTGATACATTCCTATAGAACACAAGTTGGTGTGTATAATCAGGACACTTTCCTTGATAAAATTAACCCACTATAAGATAGCAGAGAAGACTACTAGCTTTTAGTTCAGAGAGCACAGACATACCCCATCTATATGTAGAGAAAATGATCCCTTTACAAGTGCTAGAGCTAGTTTTCTCAAACGATCTCACGAAATTGTTTTCTAAAGACAAGAAAATTAATATCTGTGGCTAGTTTGTGCTGCTCAGCATCTCAGCTTGAAGCAGTTATTTCTCTCCTGCATGTGGGTCCCAGGGATTGATCCATCAGGGTGGGCAGCAAGTGCCCTTACCTTTGATCGTCTTGCTGGCCTTCCTAATGACCCTTTTAAAATGATATCATTGAACACTGCAAACACTATACTGAAAAGTGGTTATCCTAAAGCAATGACAACTAACCAAACAAAAATTAATCCTTGTTCTATCTCACAGTCCAAGGACAGCATTCTATATTTTATTTTTGCCTCAAAAGAAATGGTAAATAGGTCGTTGAAGAGACAGGCAAAGCTGCATTGTTTGAACATAATGCAGGAATTGAGCTGTGACACAATACTCCTCAAATATGCCCAAATTTATGTGTCAATGTAAAAAAAATTAAGAGAAATCTCAAATCCTAGATTGCACTCCACACCTAGTACACCAGGATGTATATGTGGGGAACCCAGGCAGCTACATTTTTTTGATGTTTTCCAGCTGATGTCAGTGTGTTGAATGGATGAAGAATCACTCTGAGTCAAGGCAACATCTGCAATTCCAGAAGAATCGAAGCCAGAAAGCTTGAGGCTAGCCTGAGCTACTTAAAGAGATCATGTGTAAAAACATCCAGTATTTAGGACGCAGCTCAGATATAGAATGCTTGTCTAGCATTGGGATGGTCGTGGATTTGTTCCCCATCACCACCAAAAAAATCTCACTGTATTTGAGTGTCTTTTAAGAAGGATAGAAATTTCTAATTCTTCAGACAAAAACAATGTCACAAATTAGTCTTGAAGATTTGATTTTTAAAGAACACAGAGCTAGTGGGTAGGGAAGGGAGGTGGGTCTGGAAAGAGTTGAGTAGAGACGTGAATTAAATGAATGAATATGATCAAAATACATTATGTGAGAGTCTCAAAGAACTAGTAATAAATATACAGAAGACAATGATATTCCAATGACACACTATGAACTTTCTGTTACTAGTAGAATGATTAATTTTAGAATTAAAAAATATGCTGAAAAGTAGGATTATAGATTGTTTTCTTTTCATTTTTCTCCTTTGGTCCACATGACAAGAGGTTCTATAATTAATATAGAATTTGTGTGCAAAACTTCAAGGACTAAAAGAAGACTAAGAAAAATAAGTACACCTATTCTCAAAAAAGGAAGAAAGACTTGTTACAAATGAAGATCAAAAAACAGCTCAATAGAAAAAATATAGTATATGTTTCTATCCAAAAATACTTACGTAATACAAAATTGTCACTGCAGAATCAGAAGTCTTCATTTAAACTTGGCTGATTTTGCAAACATATGAGGCATACCATTATCTTGAGGAAGAAGATAGCACTTGTTCCGTTCACTAAGAGTCACGTTCTCTGTGTTCTACTTAGAAGCTGTAAGCCAGGGGAGGGGAATGAGCCCGGCCATGGAACAGGGGTGCTGATAATGTTCGGTACATTCTGTTCTGGATATGGGGCAGTGTAATGTAAATATACATGCACGAATCCACTCACAGACACAGAGGGTTTCAGAGGCACAAACGGAATTACTTACTTGTTATGTTCTCTTTTTTATAATCTGAGGGGGAAAGGATAAAAATTGGTTTTAAGTAAGCATTAAGTTATCTCCTAGATCCTCGAGCTACCGCTAAGAAATGCGACTTTCCCTGCCAGCATTTAAACAAGTGACAGAAAAGCATTCGAATGTCGAGAGAGCTCATCTCTGAAGTCAAACCAGCTGTTAGGGTAGCAGCATCCTTGCAAATGAAATTCATACGGCACCATGCAGTGGCTCGGTTCTGTTCTGTGAGGTCAGCGTTTACGAACATGTGGCTTGCTTTCTGCATGCTCAAAAAATCCGCATCGTTGGCTAAGAAAGAGGATTATTTAGTCCTTTACGCCATTCCTCTGACAAACTATGAGATGTCTCTCAGCCATTTCCCCATACATTCAAGAATATCTTACACTCGTGGGATCCCCTATGGGATAAAGCAAGACCCAAGCAGCGGTTTAAAAGCGCCCTTTGATTTGTTTGAAAACCAATGAAATGAATCCTTCACGCCAACCTGTATAATTAGGGTAGCGTTAGGATTCTGCTATTGTGTGTGTGAAGATGGCTAAGCGAAAAACGTTAGAACAGCCTAGAAAGCCTGAAAAACGTTAGGAGTGTTAAGCACACACCTTGCTTGACTCAAAACAGCAAATTTTCCTTAACTTCCGAAGTCTGGGAGGGAATTCTTTGTTACCTAAATACGGCAGTCTTGTGCAGGCCTTCGGGTCCCGGTGCAAGCTGGGAAGCTTGCTGCAGTCTGGCACTGGAAGGAGATGCATCCCGGAGCTGTAGAGTCCTCTGTGGGTCTTTCCCTCCATCGCCAGCCACTCCTTTGCACAGAACAGCTCCTTCACCGCCAAGCAGTACTCCCTGAAAGGTTGAAAGGCGAGCAGGACTTGATGAATCACGGCCAGTGAAAGACACACTTCCAGTGAGGCTTAAAGTTTGTGTGTCTGAAACATTGTTGCACCGTGGTGTCATTGCTTACAAAAGTATTTTTGAAATGACTCCTTTTTGACTTAAATAACGTGAAACATTATAAGATACAGTGTACTATACTGTGAGATGAATTACTCTCTTGTTTAGTTTTTTGTTTTTAATTTTAGAAGAGCGAGGCGATCAAGGTACAGGGGCTGGAGAGCAGATAGCTCAGAGGTGAAGAGCACTGGTTGCCATTGCGGAAGACCCGGGTTCAGTTCCCAGCAGCCATAGGCCGGCTCACAGTCATCTGTAACTGTAGTCCCAGGGGACCCAATAAGGCACTTACATGGCGCACACACAGGCACGCAGGAAAAATAGTCACACCCGTGAAATAAGATCAATAAACCTTTTAAAAAAAAGATACAGAAGCAAGGTTGGCCACTTAAAGAGCATATGCACGGAGGGGCATGGGCCATCATCGCTTCGGGCCTGATGGGCAGGGTTTGAGGAAGCACCACACTCTGATCGTGCTTGCCCTGCTCCCTGGACTATAGCAGCAGCTCCAGCCATGGTTTACGGGAGCGCACTGGGTTCCTTGGCCAGCCCTTCCCCGGAGAATCAGCGTTCTGCTGGAGGGTATGAATGCTCCCACCTGATATGCCAGGTTAATGACTGAGTGTGAAGCTGTTAAGTCTGGACAGGCTGCGTAATGAGTGGCAGGGCTGAAGGGAGACTAAGTTGGACTAATTGGAGTTTGGAAGTCAACATTCATCAGGGCTCACTAGGACAAATTGCACCCAGACAGACCTGGGTAGTTCCCAGTTAAGATTGTTGGGGCTGATAATAAGAGGAGAACACAGTTCAAGGGGGAAAAATAATTAAAATACACAAGGGATTGGCTGCAGCACAAGCTCGTATTTCATGCCTCTGAGCAAGCACATGCATACACACATAGAGAGTACAACAGGTGGTCTATGTCTCTGTCAAGTAAAGAATTTTGTGTGTGTGTGTGTGTGTGTGTGTGTGTGTGTGTGTGCATCTGCACACATATATCACAGGGCTCTTTTGTGGTGTGCAAGACACTTTTTGGCTGAGCCAGATTCCAATGCTTTCTGTACATTCAGAGTATTTGTGTAAGAGATTGGCATCAGTGGTTTAAATTGGAGAAATTTTGTCCTTTCCATTGTTACTTCTTTTGGATGAATGGCGAATTTTGCCAGCCCTACTGCCCACAAACAGCGTCTTCCTTTGCGATCTGTTGGGATACAGATAAATCATGGGATTTTTCTTACTTGTTTCTCAAAGTTTTACCTGCAAATGGGCATGGGAGTAGGTGCCATTCCAGGGCTGCACTCTTGGAAGAGGTGGTTACACAGCAGGGCCTCGGCAGCTGGCCGGCAGAGTGGGCTCACAGCCTTCAGCTCATTCCACGCGGTGTGGATCAGCAGCTCCTGGGCCTCCTCAGGGTCCGAGTAGGAGGTGTTGAAAAAGACAAGGGTGTCTTTTGCCAGGGCTGAATCACACACCTCCCCTCTGTACTGGGCGCAGTAGCCTTTGTTGTCTTTCTGTGATTTGCTGAAAGAAGCCATGAACAGTGTAACCGGTCATATGCAATTTCTTGGCATCCGTCCAGTTCCCACCAACCTCTTACATCTGCATCACAGGAATAGGGAGAGACTGTCCTGGCAAATGCGTTGAAATGTTTCAAATGAATGATCTCCCCATTTCCAGCAGCAACGGTGTCATTTCTACACACCTCAGGCTGTGGAAAGCTTTGGGAGTGGTCAGGAGCTGAAGGAATTCCGGCATTTCTGTTGTTTATGCTATGCACAGAACGATTGTTCCTACTACAGTCAGCTCACATATGTCTTGCACATAAACTGATACAGTCCAAGAAATGGATAACACGCGAAAGAACATATCAATGCCCCCCCCACAGAGAAAGTCATTAGCTTTAGGAACACTCAAGGTTGCCAAAGCTAAGTACCTAAAATGTTTAGTCCATTCCCATCTTGGCTGTGTCACTTGTTTATGTGGACAATAATAACTCATAGGCTAACTGCCAATTATTGAATATTTATCACGTGTAGGCACCATCATGATCTTCTGTATTTCTATGATTTCCATAAGATGTCAGTCACTATCAAGATGGAAAACTTCAATCATGTACCTCATTTAAATGTATACTTATACCATTAAGACTTAGCTTTTCATTACCATTCTATAAAAGATTTAGAGTAAGGAAATTCAACACACGGAAATTTGTGAACTTTTAAATGGACTAGGGAACACTATTTGAACTTGAAAACTTGGTGCTCTATAAATCAACATTGTCAGCTCTCTGAAACAAACACACTAGGACAATATACAGTGAGTCCAAATAGCATCATGTTTCATGCGATAGCTTCAGTTTGGATTGGTCATTTGCTAACAGGCCATCAGGATCACTTAATGTGCCATTTAATTCATAAGAGATATTTAAGATAAAAAGCCTTGAATAAGAAAATAAGCCACTTAGGCAACACAACCTGTGGTGGCACACACACACACACACACACACACACACACACACAAATAGAGTCGTGGTTGCTGTAGCTCAGAAAAGACAGATTAATAACTAATAACCAGAAGTAGCCCATCCTGGTTTGACAAGGGACTCAAAAATTACTATATCTTGGTAAAAATGAGAGAGTGAATAAGAACAGGAAGAAAAAAACAAAATCCTGCAATAGTTAAAAAAATTACCACTGTGTTTGACCTCAGGACTACTCTTCCAGGCTCTAATACCAAGTGTTAACTACTTAGTGAAGTCAATTTTTGTTTTTCCATCAACCTAGACATATAACACACATTGGCGATTTTCCTTTAATTGCAGGTTTGGCAAAAGAAAAGGACACTACAGAAACTAATAAAAGTGACCTCAGAAATAAGGAATTAGTAATCAAAGAATAAAAGAGCAAAAGAAGGGAATTGAAAGAGTCTTGACTGTTTTAGGTAGCACACATACGATTTGATTAGATGCGCATCCCAAGCATATGAATACTTGCTATATATACGTTACCCTTTTTCCTTCTTTTTGGAAGATATTCATAAAACTCAAGTTTCACACAGCTATCCAATTTTAGATACCAGATACGGATGCAAATTGAATTATTCCAGTCTGCAGACTTTCTATAATGTGCCTTTAAGTAATAATAATGATAAGAACCCTGAACGGTGCTCCCAGCAAGAACCGGGAGTTGAGGTGAGCAGCAAGTCTCCACCCAGCCCATGTTTTCTGTGGGCATCTGCCCGGCCCACTTGAAACTGTGTGACTAACAGGGTTCCTGCCGCTGCCGCTGCGGGCAGTCTTACGGGCGGCTGGTCCTGTTGCCCTTTTGAACACTGGGGCAGAGGTCGCAGAGTTCCCTTCTACAGAAGGTTGATCGCTCTGCACTGTTCGGGTGTGTTTAAGAAAGCATACACGTTAACGTCGCACATGGTACCCACTCCTGCGTTGCCTGACAACCCAAACCTGGACGCACACCTTCTGTAGTGGCAAGAAAGGGTATCAGATCCGAGATCCCCCATTCACTCATGCGATTCTTCCTTCCTTTTCTCCCTACTAAAACAGGTCTGGATACGTTTTGAAATACTACCTCCCCGTCTCTTCCCTTTGAGCTTTGGCCAAAGGCACATGCAGAGGGCCAGCTATGTCCTGTTTGGTTTATGATATCCCCTGCTGTAGTGGAGGTACACTCGATAGCCGTCCCTGTCCTCGGAGCCTCCCTTACATAGCAACTGCTGCACTTCCCCTACCAAGGTGGTGGCCAAGGTTCCGGGCCATTCATTCTCTGTCTTCAAAGCAGCTGCTTGTTGTCTGTACGGGACTCACTTGCAGAGGCCAGCAAATACAGCTCAAGACCTGTCAGACTCAGTTCTTAAAGAAATACCCAGATTCAAAACCGACCTAATGATTTTTTTGATAACATTTTAAAACCTTGGAGTGTGGTCAATTATGGCTATTCATAATTACATGTACTTAAAACCAATTTAAATGTTCACATCTTTGTACCATGTGGGGCACCGTTTTTTTTTAAAGTACCATCCATATACATGTCATTTTTTCCAGTCTTTTGTTTAAGTAAAGCTTTCTTTTCAGCTAATACTTAATTGACAGGAGTTTTGTGTAGTATGTATGGCATGATGATTTGAAATTTGCATATATCATGGACTGGCTAAGTTGAATTAAAAACATATGTATAACCTCAGATGCATATTATCATTTGTGGGGAGAACAGTTAAAATCTATTTATTGATTTTTAAAGGATACTACACATCATGATTAACACTAGTCAGCATGACCTATGAAAGTTCTCTTCAACCTGCGTGTGACTGAATTCAAGTCCTTCATATTTTAAAGCTTATGCTTTTGTTTAAAACTTTTTGTTTTCTCCTCAGAACTAAGGATATCTACATTTTAAGTGGTTGTAAAAACTTAAGACTGTTTAATGATGCATAAAAACTACGTGAGCATTAAGTATATGTCCACAAATGAAATTTTATTTAAAAAGTGTTCATATACTTTCTTTGGTTGTTTTGTGCTAAACTAGCAGGCTGAGCAGTTTTAATAATGTCTGTATGGCTCACTGAGTGAATATATTAATATCTGACCCTTTATAGAAAATGTTAGCCAACCTCCGCTGTAGCATACTGATCAAATGTCACTTTGCTGAACTGCCAAGCACAACGTCCTCAGTGAGGAGGACATGACCTCTCATGCTTCCTGTGAGGAAAAGCTAAGAGCTGTTTTCTATACAAAATGCACTAGAGTACAAAGAAGAAACTCTTCTTATTTAAAAAAATGGAGAAAATTGATTTCGTCTCTCCCAGAAGCCAATATAGAGAAAGAACATGAGGTTGGGTGGGTAAGGAGGGGGAGGATCTAAGAGGAGTTGGGAAACAGAGCAAGTATAATAAAAAATACCATATGACATTCTCAAAGAAAAAATAAATACATTTATAAACCAAAAACGAACTATATTAATACTATAGACAGATATTTTATATATTGAATATTTGTGCAAAATAGGTTATGTTCTTTAATAAACAGAAAAATCAGGATTGAACTATAAATATGCTTTTTCATCCTGTAGCTTTGTCTCATAGCATATTATAAACCTTTGCATGCATCTTAAAAAACAGAGCTTCTAATAAGTTTCGTTTATCAGTAGATACATACATATGTTTATATATTCATGAGCGTGGATAGTTGTGACTAGTACTATTAAGTCTTATTATTTCCTTAAAATAGATTTCTAAAAGTGGGTTTTTTGGTCTATAGATATAACCACTTTAAGACTAATAAAATTTTATAAGTTGAAAACTATAAACCCAGTGATTTTCTCACTATCAACAGAGTTTGAGAGTATTATATTATCACAAGAGAAAAATGGATGGGGTGATTCTTTTCATTTTCTGAGACATGGTCTCACTTTGTTGCCTAAGATGGCCTCAAAACCTCACAATTGTTAGTCTCAGTCTTCTGAGGCTTGGGATAACCTGCATCATTACCACATCCAGTTAGAAATTATTCTTTGACTAGCATTTATTTATTTACTAACATGCTTAAACTTTTTTATTTGAATTCACTTGCATGGAGATGATCTATGACTAGTTTTTAAGTCCTTGGAATTTATGATTCCAGTATTGCACTGTCTTACAATTAATCTTCATGTGCAGGAAAATGTAAATCCTCCAGTGACATGGGACAGTAAAATTGATTTTGTGTCTCTATTCATACTATATTTCCAGCAGTACACTTGGTTTTAAAAGAGGCACCAAGAGCAGTTATGTTAACAGTCTGGGAGCAAAAGGTGATGTGTGTATGTGTATGTTCATTGTCAAATGGCTTGTAGTTCAACTCATACTGTGCTTACATCATATGATCCTTCAGTAGGTACTGGGCTTCACTGTCGAGTTCTGAAGAGCCAGCACACTGTCTCTAAGAGCTGTGAGAAGCACTTAGCAACTAACAGTGCACCTCAGAATAGAATGTCACAGCCGTATATCCAGAGATGAGATTTAGAAGGAGCCACACTTTATTGTGTATTGAGTTATTTCACTGCATGAAGTTCAAATCAGTGTCTAGAGTTTTATATTCTTCTCAGTTTCTGGTCTTCTTGTTAGGACACTGGGAAGTGGTTGTGAGTCTGAGTTCTGGAGTCCGTGTGCCCAAACATCAACGGAGGCCTAGCACTGTGTGACCTGTGTAGCCTAGCAACCCTTGCTGCATCTGGTTCTTTGTATTAAAAAGTATGTACAATAACACCTCTCCCTAAAGTCTCTGCAATGAGAACAGGTACCATGATACCACCTGCAATGGTCATTATTGCTATTATGGATTAATCATTTGTATGTCCGCCACATCATGGAATTTTTAAAGCTTTTTTTGGTTTGTTTATCACCTGGTTTTTTTGTTTGTTTGTTTGTTTTCTGATACAGGGTTTCCTTAAGCCAAGGCTGGTTTTGAACTCTGATCCTTCTGCTTTAGCCTTCGGGGTCTGACAAGTAGACACCACCATGCCTGGTGAATTGTTTGATTTTTTTTCTTTGATTTGCTTTTCTTGAGACAAAGTGTCATGTAGTACAGGTTGGCCTCACATTCACTATGTATCCCAGGCTATCCTCAAATGCACTATGCAGTTCAGTCTGGTATTAAGCGTCTGATCTTCCTGACTCAGCTTTTGGAGTGCTGGGATTAGAGCCATGAACTTCTATGCCAGGTTACTACATAGAGTTTTTATGAAAGCCAATTTAGTATACAGCACTATAGATAAAAACTTCTATAAGTTGATTTTTCTAATCTCTTGAAAAAATACAAGGAGTCAGTCTTGAGTTGCATTTCAAACTGGCTCATTTCTACCTGAGTGAGTTTCCAGTGAGAAGACGTTCTCAGTTTCCCTTCTGAAAATGGAGACAATCATGGCCTCTATATGGCAGGGATATCTTGAGGATACAAATAACTCATGTAGAGTGTATGACACACAGTGAATGTTCAGTTGACAATACTACTGTTACCTTCATTTTTTTCATCTTACAAAAAATATTAAATAGCTTTAGACATTAGAAATGTTCAAAAAGTTTATAGTGCTTGGTAGACAAATCATTGGTGTGTCGAATAAAAACCACAAGTGACATGAAACATTGGAATAACAATGGGTTCTTACCTCCACTCTGTTAACAGGAAAGGAAGTGTCCATAGGAAACCACAGACAAAGAAAAAGAAAAGAGGAAAAGTCAGCACGTACTCATCTTACAGTTTAAGCACCAAAACCAAAGGTTCTGAGTAGTTCTCTGCTTCTCCTGGGAAGGTAGAGACTACATTAACAGGTAGACTTGGGGGAGATTAAGATAGTCTTGTTCCCAGGAGCTATAATATTTCCAGATGGTGACTGCCATGGGCACCACCAGTCACTCATGAAAGAAAATAGCTATTTCATTAAATTTTGCAATTAAGTTAATAGACAAGATAGACAGATAGGAAAATAGAAAACGTAGATAGATAGATAGATAGATAGATAGACAGACAGATAGGATTGTAGATACACAGATGATAGATGCTATCTATCTATATATATGAATACATAAATGATATATAGATAGGCTGGTAGATAGATGATATGTAGATGACAGATATGATGATAGATAGACAGACAAATATAAATGGATGATAGGTAGACGATAGATATTAATAGACAGATGGGAGTGCCATTAATGGCACTGGGATGTGGTCTCTAACTACTAGCTGTATTATTATTAGTTAAACAGCAACAGGCAGCACAGCAAGGGCTGAGTGTCTACTCAGGAAAGCCATTTTCTCTTTCTCCTAGAAGCTCTCTTCTCCTTTGGTATAAAGGAGCTAAGGCAGAGGAAGAGGAGGAGGTAGTTTTACAACAGCAGCAGGCCATGTTTCATCTGTCCCCCAGGTTCCTGAATGAATGTTTGCTCATCAGTGGGTGGAATGAAGCAGAAGAATTTCAAAGCGGAATTAATAAGACTGGAGATTAAACAAGGGTAGGTGTTGTGTTCCACTCTTAAGCATCACCCAAGAGTTGTAGAATCTGCTTAAAAGCTTGGAATGAATTTGATTTTCCAAGGGAAAAGAAGATTTGAGAAATCATTACTTGGTCTCCAGTGACTGGAGAAAAGTAATACAGATTTCTCTGTGTGCATGGCAAGTTTAGATTTCAATACACTGGTTGCACATTTCAGCACACTGGTTGCACATTTCAGCACACTGGTTGCACATTTCAGCACACTGGTTGCACATTTCAGCACACTGGTTGCACATTTCAGCACATTGGTTGCACATTTCAGCACACTGGTTGCACATTTCAGCACACTGGTTGCACATTTCAGCACACTGGTTGCACATTTCAGCACACTGGTTGCACATTTCAGCACACTGGTTGCACATTTCAGCACACTGGTTGCACATTTCAGTACACTGGTTGCACATTTCAGCACACTGGTTGCACATTTCAGCACACTGGTTGCACATTTCAGCACACTGGTTGCACATTTCAGCACACTGGTTGCACATTTCAGCACACTGGTTGCACATTTCAGTACACTGGTTGCACATTTCAGCACACTGGTTGCACATTTCAGCACACTGGTTGCACATTTCAGTACACTGGTTGCACATTTCAGCACACTGGTTGCACATTTCAGCACACTGGTTGCACATTTCAGCACACTGGTTGCACATTTCAGTACACTGGTTGAATGTGTCATCTTGGGATTTTTGCCACCTTGCTGTTTCCTCTTGAATTTATGTGCTATTCAAGCTTGTTCTGAAATTCACAATAAACACACACACACACACACACACCTCCAAACTCTTGTCCCTTCCCAATGAATTGCTAATCTAAGAGATAGAAATCTACATCTCTCTAGTGCTAAGGAGAGGCTGTATTCCTTTAGGGCACACCCCGACTATATTCAGAAATGGGAACTGACAGGCTCCCAAGTGACCATAAAAGAAGTGTTAAGTACTGTATATGGGTCTGTGAGATCCATCTCACCAGGGAAGTCATTGGACCATCACTTCAGAAATACCTCCAACTTAATTTCCATTCTGGAAAAAAAATCTGCTAAGTCTTTTACAGAGTTAGTCAGGTTAGGCTGTTGGATTCTCATTTTTATTTAAGAGATACTGCTGGGGCTCAGGAGATGTCCCAGCAGTTAAAACACTTGCTGAGCAAGGGTGTAGGGGGTTTGGAGTCCTAGACACCAACATAAATTCCCAGTGGGTGTGGTGGCTGCCTGTAATCCCAGCGGAAGACAGAGACAGGGGATCCTCAAAGCAAGCTGGCTAGCTAAATCAGTGTGTTCTGGGTTTGATTGAGAGACCCTGCTTCAATGCATACAGTAGAGGTGCAAAGAGTATTGTTCCTAACATCAGCTTCAACATTTTTGCACCCACCCGCACACGCAGGAAGGAAACACATGAAACGTGGGAAAAGGAATGCAAAAAGGGAGAGGTGTTGCTAAGCCTTTCCACAAATTTTGACTTGGGAATTGGGATTTAGATTTTACTGAATTGTAGAGAAACCAGCAGGGATTCCTTAAGGAATGAAAATCACCGAAGGGTCTCTTGAGAATTCTCCACTATACAGGCAGAAGCATATGGAAGGGGACAACACAGGAAATTCCTCTGGGGCGGAAGAACAGAGGCGGATCCTAAGAGCAGCTGAGCAGGGAGACACTGACGCGTGAGGGAGCTGAGGTCATGTGTATAAGATGCTTTCTTCTAAATTTCTATGGGGGTCTTCAGGGCATGAGCCAATGCCAAAGAGGACCCAGCACCTAGGAAGAGAGAAGTCACTTCCAGGTGGAGGATGAGTAAGCAAAGAGGAGCAATGACAATTCAAGGGTGACTATAGGAGAATTGGGGGCTCTCTGGGATCTCCTGGCCTGGGGAATGCAGCCAGGTCGACTCGCCCCTAGAGGATCAAGCAACCAGGAACCTGCTGATAGCACCATGCTAATCCAGCTCCCATCCACCGGGAGAGGGAGTGCCTCAGACACGCCTGCACCCACCATGAGACCCCTCAGAGTATTGGACCTGCTTGTACCCACTGGAAGAGAACCTTGAACCCATACACACCAGGATAGGAAGAGACCCCCCCTGTATTCACTGGAAGAAGGGAAGGGAAGACGACAATATAAAAACACACTCAACAACAGAAAAACCAATATGATACCATCAGAGTCTAGGGACTGTACACCAGCAAGGCCTGAACATCCCAACACAGATGAAGCAGAAGAGAATGACCTTAAAAACAACTTCATGAAGATGATAGAGACCCTAAAAGAGGAAATGAGAAAAATCTTTCAAAGAAATGGAAGAAAAGACAAACCAAAATTTGCAAGAAACAATTCAAACAGTACAAGGTTTCAAAGCTGAAATAGAGATAATAAAAAAAAACCCACAGTCTGAAGGAATGCTGGAATTAGAAAAGGTGAGTAAACAATTCGGAACTATAGATGTAAGCATAACCAACAGAATACAGGAGTTAGAAGAGAGAATCCCAGGGGTGAAGATTCATTAGGAGAAATAGATTCATCGACCAAAGACAATCTTAAGTCCAACAGATCCCTAGCACAAAATATTCATGAAATATGGAACACTGTGAAAAGGCCAAATCTAAGAATAATAGGGATAGAAATAGGTGCAGAAAACATATTCAACAAAATCATAGAAAAAACTTTCCCAACCTAAAGAAAGACATGCCAATAAAAGAACAAGAAGCCTACAGAACACCAAATAGAGTGGGCCACAAAAAAATCCCCTTGTCACATAATAATCAAAACCCCAAACATACAGAATAAAGAAAAATATTAAGAACAGCAAAGGAAAAAGTTCAAGTAACATGCAAAGGAAAACCTCTCAGAATCACACCTGACTTTTCCATGAAAACTCTGAAAGCCCAAAGGTCCTGGATAGATATTTATTCTACAAACTCTAAGAGACCACGGATGCCAGCTCAGACTACTACACCCAGCAAAGCTTTCAATCCCTATAGATGGAGAAAACAAGATATTCTACAAAAAAAAAAACAGATTTAAACAATACATATCTAACTAATTCAGCCCTACAGAAAGTACTGGAAGGAAAACTTCAACCTATAGAAGGCAACTAGGCTCACAAAAACATAGGCAATAGATAATCCAACTTTACCAAAAGCCAAAAGAAAAAGTGGGGTAAATCCATAAGCAATAACACCACCAACAACAAATAAAAAACAAGCAAGAATTAACACTCAATGGTCCTTAATCCCCCTCAGTATTAATGGCCTTAATTTGCCTATAAAAAGACACAGACTAACAGAATGGATATGAAGACAGAATCCATACTTCTGCTGCATACAGGAAACCCATCTCAGCTTCAAAGACAGATATTACCTCAGAGTAAAGGGTTGGGATAAGATTTTCCAATCAATAGAGGGAGTCATTATAGGTTTGAGGAGAGATCTGGCACTAGGGATATTTTCAGAGATCTACAAGGATGACACCAACTGGCAAACTATGCAATAGTGGAGAGACTACCTTTAATCCCCCTCCCTGATAATGAGTTTGACGATTACCTTATATGCCATCCTAGAACCTTCATCCAGTGACTGATGGAAGCAGAGGCAGATACCCACAGCAAAACACTGAACTTTACTCCTGGAACCCAGTTGCAGAGAGGGAGGTGTGATGAGCAAAGGGGTCAAGACTGGGCTGGTGAAACCCACAGAAAGAGCTGACCTGAACAAGGGGGAAATCTTGGACCCCCAACTGATGGCTGAGAGGCCAGTATGGAACTGATCCAGACCCCCTAAATGTGGGTGTCAGTGAGGAGGCCTAGGCAATCTATGGGGCTTTAGGTAGTAGATCAGTATTTATCCCTGGCACACAAATGAAATTTGGGTGCCCATCCCACAATGAAGGATTCTCTCTCAGCCTGGAAGTTGGAGAAGGGCCTAGGTCCTGCCCTGAATGAAATGACACACTCTGGAGATCCCCCATGGAGGGCTTCACCTTCCCTGGGGAATGGTGTGGGGATTAGGTGGGGAGTTGGGGGCACTATTGAGGAGGCAGGGGAGGAGGGGAGGAAGAGGGAGCTGGGATTGACATGTGAAGCAAGCTTGTTTCTAATTTAAATATTTTTAAAAAGATTTTTCCAA